CGGACTGGGCACTTCGAGCCGCGTCACACGGAGTGAGCACTTCGAGCCGCCACCGAAGTGCCGCTCGCTTCCCAGCAGCCACCTCGACGCGTGCGCTCGCAGGGCAGAGGGGACGGATGCAATGAACGATGCGGTGGATTAGCGACGGGGCGGCTGCTTCTTCGCGATACAGCGTCGCGAAATGTATCAAATCGTTTGCGAAACGAATTGTCAACTTGAACGAAATTAACCAATTTGCGAAGCGCTTCGCCCAAATCCATACTCCGTGCACAAATGGCACCAGTTTTGAGAGTCAGCCTCTCAAGTTTCAAATCTAAGCCTCCAATCAGATTACCCACAATTCACCTAATCTTGTCGTATATGCATAAGCGCAGCAGGATGAGTCTGGTTCGTATTTGGATGGGAGACGGCCGTGGCTTGCCACTTGTGGGGCTGTGAGGTGGCCAGGAATGGCCAGCGTCGAGTGTTGCCCCCGCACATGCACGGTTGGTCTTCTCCGGGTTTTCTGGGTTCCTTCCCACATGAAGCCAAACGCTCGGAATTTCCACCAAACATCATCATCACGATCCATGGGCAGATCGGCCGTAGGTGTCCACTGAACATTTCGTCACTTGTTTGCACTTTCCCCCTTGTGCCAATATGCTCAAGTAGTGTTGGCCCAAATATTACCTTAAAATATAATCTTGAGACTCCTAGATTCTTTCACTGTTTATCACGTCCGTAAAGAGTTGGTACTATTATTCTTAAGTGTCCCACTGCTCACATGAACAAGAGGTAGGTGTCGTCTCGAGCTTAGCAGTGGAAGTTTTATATTCCCAGAGTGGAGAGATACCCTCTGATAAGGACTACTATCGTTGACTTTTCATCGCAATTAAAGGAAGGTCCATTGCCTGGAACGTTGCCGATTTCTTGTCTTCCCTTGTCAGGCCACAGTGTTGTTGTTGCTGACGCATGTCTGCGCGTGTTTGTTGTTGTTGTTTGTGCTTGTGCACCGCTGCTGATGCGCCAAGTGATCTGTCACTAATCAGTACTCGTTTGATGAATCTTGTGGGAGGTGATGGGCAGAGTCGCCCCCTGACTGTGATGTTAATTCATAGCCTAGTGGCCGCGACTGACACATTCTACGTCCTGGCAGAATAGTTTATGTACACATTGTGCAGGGATTATTATTAGAACGTTATCTAACTTTTTCGATACATTGCACCACACATTCATAATCTTTTTTTTTCTTTCTAAAACCTACGATTACTTTCGAAACACCACCCATAAAAAGACATGGATTATCTTTTTCTTAATCCCCAATAAATGTTTTATACCTTGAAAGTAATTTGCGGAGAGAAACAACGTAATTGAAATCAATAAAGAACGTTTTAGAATGCGCCAGGCATTACTGCCTTGGGATTTAAAGTGCTGACTTGACGTAAACAGATAAAAGTTATCATTGCGGTGTGGGCCGTAGTCTGGATCGCGAGCCACGGCCGGCAACAGCCTGCCTCTTTAATGAGAGAGCAAAGAGCAACTTGGCAAGGATGTGACAGCGTGTAACGGTGATGGATCCTTGATTTATTTATAAATTTCATTTTCGCTGGATGCCGAGCCGCGGCATCGAAGCCTCGGCACGGGGCGAGATGATCGTCCCGTGAATCGCGACTGGAACGCGTGCACGGCACGCCTGAGAGTAGGTGACTTCAGGTACCTCTCATGGAAAGGATAGGGTAAGCAAATTGGAAGTTTGTAATGGAACGTGGCGAGGGAGTGTGATCAGGAAGAGCAGGTTACATTGGGTGGCACACGCGTCTGTGGGGTGGCACACGCATGTTACTGAGGCAGGCAATTGGAATCAGCATCCAGAGGTCGATGACTAAGGAGAAGGGCTGATGCCAGATGGTGGGAGGCTCGATAAGCTTGCCTTAAAGGTTAAGTGCCAACTTTTCACCGATGGGATCGAGCAGACAGAAGGTGTGGCGGCATTACCTCACAGACCAGGGTGACCTTAAGATGCTTTATGTGCCCTTCTTTCTGCTTTATTCCATGGAAATTCATCCCTCAGGGCCGGCCCGAATAAAAATCGCATGTCTACTGTGGGTGTCTTGGTGCAGCCTTTGGCGACCAGGCTGAAACCATCAACTTGCTGCACTTGAGAGCCTGGTCTAATCCCGGGATAGAACCGTGGATTCATTGCCGGTCTGTCAGTGTCACTGACCCAGGAGGATCTGACACGGCCGAAGATTGCTCCCATCGAGTCAGGCTGACACCTCATCGTGTCCTTTCATCACCTTGAGCCTTGGAGAGAAACCACTGGACATGACGTGCCTCAAACCACGTCTCTTGGGAGCAGAATCTCGATGGTACCCTCAGGCCCACACGATCCAGCTGCAGTTAATTTGCGGCTGAACCAGCATTCTGTTTGCACTGCCGATGCACCTACCAGCCACCTCGAGACTGGAGCTGCCACGGCTATGAGGTGGTGATGACAGTTGAAGGTGATGGAAGATGCTTTGATTTCAGAAGTGACACCGTTAGGCATCACAGTGATACACTATTCATGCTGCTTCTTGTCCTCCTTTTCTGCAGCCTTCTGAAAATGTAACTTTTGTTGTTGTTGTTGTCATAGCCTACGGGCAAAGCGAGGAATGCAGTTTCAATATTCTCAACAACAAAAGCCTTCTGTGTATCCTGCTTAGACCTCCACATGTGCCTGCACAGAGCTCGTTCACGAGGTTCCATGCTTGTCACCAGGTAACAACGAGGTGCAAAGTCCATCTCGCGATCGAGCGGGGGGGGGGGGGGGGGGCACTCAACCTTATGGAGAAAACCGCCATAGGAATGTGGAATGTCTACCACTGGCTCCGGGGGGGCTCGAATGTGAGACGAGCACAGCCCTTAATCGAGGTTTTTGGGTGAGATCGCGTAAGTAGAAATGTGTCGTTAAACCCGCCACTAACCCGACGCAGCCAATTAGTCAGGAGTTTGTCACGTGAACAAAACGTGCCAATTCGCTACTAGTTCAGCACAGCGGATGTGTTGCCGAGCAAGCCCAGCACCTCTGCAAGTGCAGCCCCAGTGCTGCTTTGAGTTGAGGTCTTGTGACGCTGAAGAGACCCGACATCACAAACCCCTTTCCCACAAACAAACTCCAATTGGAGCGACAGCACGATATCGGAAAATACAAGCAGAGGATGTGAGGTTCAATAATGTTCGCTGGACTTCTTCCGCACCGTACGTGGCCAACCGTGCTAGTCGGAGATGCGAGGGAAGAACAACAAACTGAACACAAAAAAGCAGTTACGAAGAAATGAGTTTTCAATCCACATTTAGAACTACATACACTGTAGCTACCGTGGCTTCCCAATATCGAACACTGGCGACAATCTGCCACCGCCCCACCACAGACATGCACAGCTGTGACAGTCCGAGCACGTGCGTGTGTGCGTGTGTGCGTGGGGAGCGTGTACACTCGCTGGTGCATCTCCCAGTCATCTACGTCAGCCAACCCATGGCATCTGGGTCTGTTCCGTGACCTGCCAGCGAGCTTTCGACACTTTACGTGGCCTCGGAGTGCACCTAGCCTGGCACAAGCGCCGTGGTGATGTCACCGCCACTTAGTGGTGAATGACGGCTTGCTGTTGTCAGGGGGTGTGTGGGGGGGAGAAGTAGAAAGCAGTCGCGTGGCTGTGCTCTGAACTCCGAAACTCGAGTTTGATTCCCGCTCACGACCAACAAAAGTGACGAATATCTGAACCGGTCCAGGGCCTTCCCTAGGTCGACCGAGCCTTAAATGAGTACCTGGTGCAATGTGTAAACATCAGCAATGGGAAGACAAAGGCGGCCGGGTGTGTGTTGTGCCAGCCTTCATAGGTGTTCACTAACAGAATTTGCCCCAACAGTCTGTTAAGTCTTTGGACCAGAGGCAGAAAAAAAAGTGTTGGTTTGACCAATGACAGGCTTGTAAATATAAATATACTATATCACTCATCGCATCACACATCCAAATGATAGAGAAGTCACGTGTGCTAAAACAGGCACTTTAAATGCATAGTAGCATCCTGCCAGCATTTAAAATTCAGTAGGTTAGGTGCTGCAGCTGCATGAACGTTGTGAAATTATACATGCAAAGGTGAGGCATGTTGACATGCCCACAGCATCATGGGAACACGAACAATGGAAGGCCCTCTCTTCGTGGATATTTCCCATGCTGCAGTCCAAATAGATGCCATCTTATTTAAATATGTTATTATTCATGTAATTTGTATCTCTAATTGTATCTGGATTGTGCTGTTGGCATCATGCCACGAAACAAACATGTGGCGGTGCAGCCCATGTTGTGAGAGAGCTCTCCACCAGAGTGGATATCGCAGCGCGACCTCTGAGATCCCTTCTAGTCACCTCTGGTCCACGCGGTCGTGCGGCAGCGCTGTCCCACCCAGCCACAGAGAGTAATCTTCGTCACGTGACAATAACATCGATATTTTAATTATAAGAGCTGGTATTTAGCAATAATAAGTGCAAAAACAATTTAATGTAAGGCTTATTTTTGTGCAGCCTTTGGTGACTGCGACGAGACTATAAGCTCGCCACACTTGAGAACCAGATTTAATAGCAGTTGCCTCCCTGCATTTTGAGCCAGGATCCCAGTGGTACGAGCTCAGCAGTCTGACATCCAAGTCAGCTGGCAGCGCTTCGACACCATAGTGACTTTCCTGCCGAGACAGATCAGTCGACACCACGGGAATGTAACACTTCTCACGTGGACTTTGGGGCCGCCGATGGAGATGATTGCCGTCCCATGGCTGGGTCGAGCAAGGGAGATCATCTGCCTTCACCGCCGCAGTACTCCGAGTAAATTGTCCAAGCCATGGGAAACGTTTCGCTTGGCGGGCACGGATAACGACGTCGCGCGAGGAGGAAGCTTGCGCACCGATCACGCGGATTCTGCCACGCTCGGAACGCTCGCGCCCAGTCAGCCGAGGAGAAGGTGTTTAAAAAGTCGTGCCCCTTACCCGGCTGATGGCCAGCAGGAAGCGTGGCGTCTCGAAGGAGGCTCGTGCCTTTGAGCGGCCAAAGCGGCGGTAGAACAGATGCTCGGCCCCAAACACCAGCAGGCTGAGGCCCACGGCCACCACCAGCATGTAGAAGACGCCCGCCATGTTGTCCACGTCCAGCTTGCTGCTCATCACCTCGTTCTTCTCCTTCTTGCAGATGCCGGCCAGCCAGATGTTCTCCAGCTCGTCGATTTCGTCTGCGCGAACGGAGCAAAGCGCAAAAGTGCATGGAGCCCATCGGTCCGTTTCATCACCGTTATTGTCACGCTCATAATCATCATCGTCAGGCATGATAAATCCACTGCTGGATGAAGGCCCCATTCCCAAGCCACCACCACGATCCCTGCGATGTAACAATCCACTTGGCGCCTGCACACGAGCTACTTCCATCGCTCGCCTTCCTCCGGCAGGCGCACTCTAGGACCATCAATGTTACAATAATTTACATGATTACAATAGTGAGTCAGCTTATCAGTCAGCCACAAAACTTCAGAACTTTGGTATTGATTACGAGCTGTGTACAACCTACGAATAAGCACATTCAGTCGGATTTAGGCACTGGTGGAAGGGCAAATTCTGTGAATATTTGGTGTCAAAATGGACTAAACCACAGCTATTTTGTATATATTTTGATTTTTTTGCTAAAAAGTGTTCACAGCGATGGCTGTTCTTCCAACGTCATCGTTATGTATTTTGTTCGCATCTACATCATTAACATCTGAAATCTCTGTTTAGTTCAAGAAGTTAACAACGGGGTTAAACGTTATATTGTCCGCCGAACAACCCTTGGCACACGCAGTATGATTCACGAGACCCCCGGCCTCGTCGAAGGCGGCATTAATAAAGGACCCACCCTCGTGGTGTTAACGAATGTAACGCGCGATGAATACCTAATTGATTGCAAGAGCATGCGCACCCACGAAGAAAGAGCCGCGTGAACTCCGCAGCACGAGGGCCACTTGTGGGTCTGTTCCAAGGGTTGGAACCGTGCTGTGAGACTGCGCATTAATTATCCCTAATTAATTTCCCAGTTGTTCATCGCACACGTGAGTGGCACTCATAGAGCTCCCGCAGTGTTAGCGGTGCACTCCGTATCTACACACACATAACAGAATCATTTAAAGCTCTTGTGTCCCACGTATGGCCAACGATGAAGAAATTGTTTGACCATACTTCACCACACCAGTCGGCGTTGGTTGGTGAAGGTGCGGGGACATGGCGGCCCAGGGCCGGCTCAGACATCACTCGCCAATGATGCTGGCTGTGGCCGGAAATCAAACTCGGGTTCCTGGTGCAGAGCAGTGACCGCTGCAGCACTGCTAACCCCGTGTCTATCACACGTGTCTATCACACGTGTGCTACCGTGGTGGGTCGTCCTGCGAACAGGTGCTGCTGCCTTTGGGTGACTCGCATAGAGATAGATTTCGTGAGTTCCAATGCGAAGAATTAATTTCCTTGTTGATTTATTTGCAACATCTCTGCCAGGTTGAGGAGGCAGAAAATTCGCTTTGGGTTTTCTCGTCTCAGGTGATAAAGTGTGCAGGTGGATTCATTGAGAAACTTGAATGCGCTGGTCGTGGGCTTCGTCACCATTGCTCTTTTCATCAGCGAGACCCATAGCACTAACTTGCACAGATAATTATAGACTTGCATAGAGACCCACTAACTCGCACAGACTCATAGCCTTCCATAGAGACTCACTAACTTGCACAGAGAATGATAGACTTGCAGAGAGACCCACTAACTCGCACAGAAAATCATAGACTTGCATAGAGACCCACTAACTTGCATAGAGAATGATAGACTTGCATAGAGACCCACTAACTCGCACAGAAAATCATAGACTTGCATAGAGACCCACTAACTTGCATAGAGAATGATAGACTTGCATAGAGACCCACTAACTCGCACAGACTCATAGCCTCCCATAGAGACCCATTAACTCGCACAGAGCATCATAAACTCGCAAAGAGGCCCACTGAGAGAAACTGGAATGTGCTGGCAGTGGCTTTGCCCTCAGCACTGTCTCCACCAGACGAGCACTCACAGCCCATCTGCTGCTCTGGTATCCCAGCACCAGTGCAGCAGCAGCAGGAGCAGCAGCAGCAGCAGGAGAATCATTGTGACCACTGCCGCAAGCACCACGCGTTGCCTTGGTGTTCCAACTTTCAAGTAATCCAGCTGCAACGCGTGAGCACCTGAGACTGGAAACCCCGAGGCAGACTTTGTTGCCTTTCTCAGCCGCTAACCAAGAATTGGCACTGGTCTGCTGCAGATGAAGGAGGATGAATATCCCTCTCAATGTAAGTTTATCATCTGCGATGACGTTTTCTTCAACGCGCCTGTACATTTTCTGGAATCGACTGTGGCTTCCATTGTATAAGAAACATTGGTCTAATTCTGAATGAGACAGAATCCAAAGAGATACTGTCACGTGCCATGAGCCATTAGGGTTGCCACCTCTGAGGTTCTAAAAGAACGGACATATCATGGGAAGAAGAAGAGGAATATCTCACAAAACTGGAAGAGGGAAGAACTACAGGCAAATGTATCATCTTGTGTGGTGTAGTATTATTATTATTATGCAAATGGCAAAAAAAACCCGGGACTGTTAGTGTCCGGGGAAGAATGACAGATTCCACAGGACATCTACCTCGACAAGAGGACGATCCTGGGAAAACCGGGCCAGGTGGCAACCCTATGTGCCGTTGCCGCACTGCGCTTGTGTTACCGTCGCCCATGAACTGAAGCAGGGCCAGGTCAATGTGCTTCTTCCACTTGGACGCCTTCTGCAGCCCGATGCCGTAGCCCGAGGTGGCGAACACCTTGCCGCTGCCGATGGTCACCAGCTTGCAGCCCTCGTCCTTGCCCGCCATGTAGTTGAGGACGGCGGCGTCGTAGATGAATGCGTCCAGTTTCCTGGCCCGCAGCCGCGGCCGAGTGAAGGAGACGGGGGGGGGGGGGGGATGAGAGACGCGGCGTCAGGACACCGCCCGAAAAGGAGATCCCTCACTCGATCGAGATCGGCGATCGGAGTTGAGAAACAATGAAGACGGAGGGGCGGTCCTGCAACTGCTTGCTCTGGCCACGGCTGGCGGATGGGTCTCCACGAGAGAGAGTACCCATTAATGTGCCCTGAGCGTATGACTCGATATTGATTCAAGAAAGGGCACGCCCTGACTTGCCACGTAAATACCGCTTTGGTAAAGAGGTAAAGCCGCGGTCCTGCAATTTCTGGCTAATGCCACTGCTGGCAGAAGGGTCTCCACTCGAGTGGGCTCTAGATTGCCCCAGTCGAGGGTACTTTGGTCTACTCATCCACCACGCTGGACAGACGTCTTGGGAGAGGTGGGAGTACCGACACTTGACCCCACCGCACGCGACCTGTCGATCTACTTAATTGGCGTGCGCACTTATTAAGAATTCTGCCCCACTGCTGGATTGCAAGTCTGGTGCATTAGCCAATACAGCACCCAGTGTGATAATCGACCATCCAAAACAAATCCTAATTCAGAGAGCACTCAGCTACCAGCAACTACAAGTAATAGGAGAGGACAATTCCTGCACTAAATTAGAACAATTACCGCAGATGGGGCACCGTTTTATGAAGTTATTATCGATGTAATGAACAGAAAAACAATTCATATTTTGGCAAATAATGTCGGCTTATTTTTGCCATGACTGATATAATGCATTCATAGGATTCCACGAAAGATGCCAAATTTAAAACTGTTTGCTATTAATCTTAGTCCTATGAATTTTTTGACGTTATAAATATCTGATTAATTTCATTACCCAGTGCAGTGTTTTTCGGTGTCCCTCGACTTTATTCTAAAACTATTCTATTCTAAAACCTCCGTTTCAAATGTACGTGTGGGCCCTCAGGCTAAGCTCAGGCCTGGGTGAGACACCGTCCACTTGCGAGGAGGCTCCATCGAATGTCTCCTTTATCCTTTCCAAAGTCAAGGCGTCTCGCAAGCGACCAGCTGAGCGCTGTGAGCTCAAATCGTGAACTGGGGGGCTGACGGCGAGCAACTGGCCGACGCTTGAACGAGGCATTTGAGCAGTGAGAGATCGTGGAGGTTTTTATCCATTTGGAATCAGAAATACAACAAATATTTCATGAAATTCTAACCGACGAGGGGAGAATTGAGATTGCACAGTTAACTAAAGATGGCCCTCCAATGAAGTATTGACATTTAAAGGAATCGTGTAAAAAAGCTGGCCAAAACATCAACAATGTGATAGTATATATTGGGACACAGAAAATAATGTAATTGCTGCTACAAATTAACTAACCTCTAAATATCTTCTGCAGCAGGAACAATTACAATATACATAACTAGTCTGACTCATCTGTGTTGTTTAAGTTGGGTGGCCATGGCGATTAAAACTGTGGAAGTGCTGGCTGCATTTGCTCGGCATTCTGCCTCGTCAAAGGCCCATGGAGCAGCAGCAGCAGGAGCAGCGGCAGCAGCAGCAGCTACAGCAGCAGCAGCGGCAGCAGCAGGAGCAGCAGCAGCTACAGCAGCAGCAGCTACAGCAGCAGCAGCGGCAGCAGCGGCAGCAGCAGCAGGAGCAGCAGCTACAGCAGCAGCAGCTACAGCAGCGGCAGCGGCAGCAGCTACAGCAGCGGCAGCGGCAGCAGCGGCAGCAGCAGCAGCATCAGCAGCGGCAGCTACAGCAGCAGCAGCTACAGCAGCAGCAGCAGCGGCAGCAGCAGCAGCTACAGCAGCAGCAGCAGCAGCTACAGCAGCAGCAGCTACAGCAGCAGCAGCTACAGCAGCAGCAGCAGCTACAGCAGCAGCAGCAGCAGCGGCAGCAGCAGCAGCAGCAGCTACAGCAGCAGCAGCAGCAGCTACAGCAGCAGCAGCAGCAGCGGCAGCAGCAGGAGCAACAGCAGCAGCAGCAACAGCAGCAGCAGCAGCAGCAGCTACAGCAGCAGCAGCAGCAACAGCAACAGCAGCAACAGCAGCGGCAGCAGCAACAGCAACAGCAGCGGCAGCAGCAGCAGCAGCAACAGCAGCAGCAGCAGCAGCAACAGCAGCAGCAGCAGCAGCAACAGCAGCAGCAGCAGCGGCAGCAGCAGCAACAGCAGCGGCAGCAGCCACGGTGACTGCGTGGCCACTCGCCGCTGTGCGTTCACCGTCCCCACTCTTTGCACGTGGACACTGGTGCATGGCAACGATAGCAAATGGGCAGAACGTTTTTTTTTATAATCGGCTCGTACAAAAAAAATCAGTTTGATTCCAATTAGATTCTAAAGCAACGCGTTGTGAATAAGCCTGCCTCTTCAGTGAATTCAATAGTTTTCAGCAAGCATATGGATTTTTGAAAGAAAAAAGCGAGCCGCGAATGAATACAATTAACAACTAAAAAGCAATGCGTTAAGGTGAAAATAAATATTTTATTTGGCTAAATCCCCCCTTTGCAATTGAATAAGGGATTAGAGAACCCAGATTATGCCTTACCCTGTCTTGAGACTCTCAAGTGCATCCTCCACTGATTTTTGGTTGTAGCGGGACATGTAGTTGTGCATTTCTGGATAATTGTTCCGAATATTCCTCTCGGTGCTTCCATTGGGAACGGTTCCAAAGCGAAGCGGTGTGTTTTGCTCATTGGGCTTCTGGAACTAATCCCACACCCAACAAGAAACAACAAAGACACAGATACATGAATAGAGCACACGCAGAGATCCACAATTTATAATACACAAACAAGCAACATACAATCGTAACATTAGTAATGTGTTGGTGTGGTAATTAGGTTATTTTGTCGCAATAAACAAAACAACTGATGGTGTTATGTTTAACGAATTAACACAACAATATTCGGGATGTTTCCACGGCTGTAGCGCTGTGTGCATCCTCCGTCTGTTATCGGGTTGTGCCGTGCTCAGCTCGGCACCATGTCAGACGTTTCGCTTCCTGAACGGGCTCCCGGCTCAGCCAGGAGCCCGTTCAGGCGCACGAGGCGGAGACACGGCGGAGGGGTCATTCAATTCGACATTCGTCCCAGAGGAAACACGCATTTGCACCTTCTCCGTACGTCGTGTAATCTCTTCAACGACACTGGCAGACTATTTGCAGGTGACAAGCTACGTGCATTTGCAATTAAAATTAAACATGGATAAAAAATATATATTGAAAGATTTCCTCAGTTAGCACACGATTGTTCTCAGTGATGCGTCAAAGCGTGGCGTTCGTGCTGAGATCCGCCGACGTTTCCGCTACGAAACATCTGACAACATTGGCACGCTACTGGCTGGGGTGTGCGGCCGTGCCGTAGGCCTCTCTTGGAGGTGTTCCCTGGTCGTGCCGCGTGTCCTCGCGTCGCCACGGTGCCTGACGTGTCTCTACTTCAGGAACTGAACCACGTCGAAGATGTCAGACATCGTGCCGAAGGACACGCTTGTTAACAGGAATAAAACACATATCCTACACACGTTGTCCCAGCTGCTAGTTCATACCCGTTACAACATTTAGACGCCGTGTTTTGCCAGGTGTCACCGCTCACAGTGGATTACTCCCGTCGTGTCGACGGGAGCTTTTGTTGCCACATCATTTCGCGCTGCCACTCTCGCCTTTCCGTTAATCTTTTAGCACAAATTTGAAATTTGCTCTTCACTGCATTGTGAGTGTTAAATGCGTATGACATCCCACATCTGTCATTATTATTTTTATAATTATTTTTTTATCACCGCTGCTGAACGTCAGCCCAACGGCAAAGCACCCAGGACGTTTCAAATGTCGCGTCTATTTTTGTGGAATCGGGGTGAGAACTGAAGACGCCGAGATCGTCTCGTCGCAACAGTGACACACGGCACTCTTGAAAGTCTAGCAGGTAAGAGTTCATACGTTCATTGAATGGAGCAAGCTTATACGAACTTGGGCGACGTGACGATGGAACATAATTATAAAGTCGGGCAGAGCGAGAGGAGAAGCAGAAGGAGAGGTGGTGTGTTGGTGGTGGTGATGGTGGTGGTGGTGATGGTGGTGATGGTGATGGTGGTGATGGTGGTGGTGATGGTGGTGGTGATGGTGGTGGTGATGGTGGTGGTGGTGATGGTGGTGGTGGTGATGGTGGTGATGGTGGTGGTGGTGATGGTGGTGGTGATGGTGATGGTAGTGGTGATGGTGGTGGTGATGGTGGTGATGGTGATGGTGGTGGTGATGGTGATGGTGGTGGTGATGGTGGTGGTGATGGTGGTGGTGGTGGTGGTGATGGTGGTGATGGTGATGGTGGTGATGGTGGTGGTGATGGTGGTGGTGATGGTGGTGGTGGTGATGGTGGTGGTGATGGTGGTGGTGGTGATGGTGGTGGTGGTGATGGTGGTGATGGTGGTGATGGTGGTGGTGATGGTGGTGGTGATGGTGGTGGTGATGGTGGTGGTGATGGTGGTGGTGATGGTGTTGGTGGTGGTGGTGATGGTGATGGTGGTGGTGATGGTGGTGGTGATGGTGGTGGTGATGGTGGTGGTGATGGTGGTGGTGGTGATGGTGGTGGTGATGGTGGTGGTGATGGTGGTGGTGGTGATGGTGGTGGTGATGGTAGTGGTGATGGTGGTGGTGGTGATGGTGGTGGTGATGGTGGTGGTGATGGTGGTGGTGGTGATGGTGGTGGTGATGGTGGTGGTGGTGATGGTGGTGGTGATGGTGGTGGTGGTGATGGTGGTGATGGTGGTGGTGGTGATGGTGGTGATGGTGGTGGTGGTGATGGTGGTGGTGATGGTGGTGATGGTGGTGGTGGTGGTGATGGTGGTGGTGGTGGTGATGGTGGTGGTGATGGTCGTGGTGATTGTGGTGATGGTGGTGGTGATGGTGGTGGTGATGGTGGTGATGGTGGTGGTGATGGTGGTGATGGTGGTGGTGGTGGTGATGGTGGTGGTGATGGTGGTGGTGATTGTGGTGGTGATGGTGGTGATGGTGGTGATGGTGGTGGTGATGGTGGTGGTGGTGTGGCCCGCGGTGTGGTGGTGGTGATGGTGATGGTGGTGGTGATGGTGGTGGTGATGGTGGTGGTGATGGTGGTGGTGATGGTGGTGGTGGTGTGGCCCGCGGTGTGGTGGGGGTGGTGGTGGAACAGAGTGTGGATTAGACGACACAGCGAGTCTGGTCAGCCAAGTCCTCAAAATGGGTGTAGGAATCAATGAGTGGAGTTCATGTGCTGTGTTGTGTCTGTGTGTTGTGTCTGTGTGTGTGTTGTGTGTGTTGTGTGTGTTGTGTGTGTTGTGTCTGTGTGCTGTGTCTGTGTGTTGTGTCTGTGTGTTGTGTGTGTTGTGTGTGTTGTGTGTGTGTGCCTGTGTGTTGTGTGTGTTGTGTGTGTGTTGTGTGTGTTGTGTTTGTGTGTTGTGTGTAGTGTGTGTGTGCTGTGTGTTGTGTGTGTTGTGTGTGTTGTGTCTGTGTGTTGTGTCTGTGTGTTGTGTGTGGTGTGTGTGTGCTGTGTGTTGTGTGTGTTGTGTGTGTTGTGTCTGTGTGTTGTGTGTGTTGTGTCTGTGTGTTGTGTGTGTGTTGTGTGTGTTGTGTCTGTGTGTTGTGTGTGTTGTGTGTGTGTGTTGTGTGTGTTGTGTCTGTGTGTTGTGTGTGTTGTGTGTGTGTGTTGTGTGTGTTGTGTCTGTGTGTGCGGGGCCCCGCGCTAGGCGAGCGCCCTGCTGCAGCTGCTGCTGCTGGGGGAGGAGAGGGCTGTCACCTTCTTGTCGCTCAGGCCGGACACCTGGTCAATGTACTCCTCCTGGATCATGAAGGCTGCCAGGTTGGCTGTGTAGCTCGCCAGGAAGATCACGGCAAAGAAGGCCCAGACGAGCACCATGATTTTGCTCGAGGTTCCCCGTGGGTTTTCGACGGGCACCGAGTTGTTGAACACCAGAGCCCACAGCAACCAGATGCATTTTCCGATCGTAAAAGTCGGTCCGTCAGGCGCTACGGACACCAAGAGCGCACGGCGAGAAGGCGACATTGAAATGGTTGTTTGGCAGCAACTTCACAGCAGTCGTCGTTAACTGGGAGCTCTTTCTCTCTCATTATTTATGACCGTGGACCAGATTCACGTGTTTTTTGCAATACGGCTAAAATGCCAGAAGAGCCGGTGAAAGGAACATTCTTCACCAGTCCGTGAATCCAGCTGTCAAGTGTCAGCTTAAGTTCATTCATGCCAGCTAACCCTGTCTATGAAAGGTACAAACATATTTAGAGGTGCAGCCCTGCAATTCCCTGCTCATGGCAATGCTGGAAGAAGGGCCTCTGCTATAAGAGCTAGAGAGTGCCTCTGCAGTGAATGTAGACCCAGCCTCAAAGAGCGCCACGTGCCACTTGGCAATGGACCACAATGGTGGCGCAGCCGTTGCTTCTGCTGGCTGGACAGAGGCATTGCTGTTGCAGAGGCTTGTGCCGTTGTGTTTTACCTGCCGCGCCGGGAGAACGAATGGGAACCAGCGAGCTCTGGATCACAAAGTCCAGCGCGCCGATAAACCGTGAAGCCGCGGGCAGCATCCCGCCAGCCACTGTTTGCGAATAACTTTACGCGGATAGTGATTTAAGTGGATATTTTTTTAAAAGCTAATAGATTGTATTTGCCATGAAGTTACAACGAGTTCATATCATCTGCCCTGAGGATATGTATGCATAGCAGTGGGCCTTGCAGTTAATGAGCCAATCGATATACAGACTCGAGTACATTGAGGCACAATTGACGGTAGCAGTCTTTCCCTGTGGAAAAAGATAAACACAAGCAGTGATAGCGCGAATATGAGTCACTGCAGCAATGTTTTTTCAATTAAAAAACTGCCATTGATGAAATTTAAGGCTTCGTTTATTGTGCGAGGGAGTTGAGCGGTGGCCCAGTGGTTAGCACCCCACGCTATAAGCCCGGCGACCTTCGATTCCCGACCAAGGCTGACGGCAGTGACGAGTGATATCTGAGAGTGAGGGTCAAAAGAATTGCTACAATCCGTGCCGACTCAATGGTTGGACGACGTCCACAAAGCCGCGCCGTGCACAGCGCGCGCGTGCACAGCGCGCACGTGCTCGCTGACCCCGGCTGCTTAGCACACTGCAACGCATTCCATCGGTTGGGCTGCACCCATAATGTGGATTGCCTCCGTGGTGTAACGGTCAGCACGCTGGACTTGCAATCCAGAGGTCACTTGGCTCGATTTGATCTCCAGGGGCGGCAGTTGAACCAACGGTGCCAGCTCCTTAGGTTCCCCCACCCTCTTGTCGGAAACGTGAGACTCGCCGCAGGTTGCGTGTGGCGGGGTAGAGGTGTGGGTACCCCCACCTCTTCCAAGACATCTGATCAGCGTGGAAGAGTAGGCCACGTACCCTCTCAAGGTCCCTCTGGTAGAGGCACTTCTGCCAGCAGTGCTGCGAGCAAGCTATTGCAGGGCTGCACCTTTACCTGTCCTCTACCAATCTAATTATGTATCTATGTAAGGCTCCCCGTGTCACTGACATGTGGAGAGAGGCGAGGGTCGACGAGGTTGCTTACTCTTCCGTTTCAACCCCCTTAGCTGTGAATGAAACCTCTTTCCCGTGGATTGCGTGTGACTCTTTCTTTACCGGCCATTGCAATGATTATTTGTGTGGGTAACGCACGTGCCAAGTGTCACGAAGGCGACAAGGGCTTCTATAGCAATGAAACACCGCGCACAGTGCCTGCTGCTTAACGCCCTGCCCTTTTGAGATGGACTCTTCAGATATCTTCGTCAATATTTACTCGTGTCCATAAATTGTGTGGATCGCTATTGATGAGCGTTCCATTGTAGAAGTGGAATCGACGTTTGTGTATCTTTATGGTTGTATCATTAGGTCAAATATGTAACGCTGCTTTAAATGGCCATTTTTGGAATGTGCAGGGAGACAAACCACGGGGATTACAGGGAAGTTGATGAAAAGGAAAGCGTAGTCGTTGAGTGTTGTACGTACCACCCCTAAACACTTGTACATCAATCAGCACGTTACGAAAAATGAGTCAGTTGTTATTCTACGATTCTGCAATTTATGTTGTCGTCAAAGCTAGAAAGAAATGGGAATTTTGTGAGCGCTGGCCTCCTGTGTGACCACTGCTTAATGGAGTACCGTTCCAAAGTGCAGCGATCAAAACAAGGACAAGTTCTCAATAACGTGTTTAAAAAAATGGAGATTAAAAATTACTTTTAATATTTTTCAGGATGAAAAAAAGCCTCGCGAGTTTGGAGGCTGCATTTGACTTCTCGTATTGAGTTTGTGCGGTCCTGCTGTGTTTAATGGAAGAAAGAATGTATTAATGCATCACAAGTTTTTCTTAAGAAAGTAAAAAAATGTGATAGATGTAATAAGTGTAATCGTGTGGGAAAACACGTTTTTACCAATGTTACTTATCTGAAACTGTTTAATCGCTTTTAAATCATGTATATTCCTCAGGAAAAAGGCAGTGGACCTGGTTAAAAACACATTAACACAAGACAGGGTAAAATGTCCCCGTAATGATAATTAATCGTTTTGATTGAAGCCTTCAGCTTGACGTAACGTACGGCTGGCTCAGGAGGTGACTGAGGGCGATCGGTGATTCGGGGAACTTCACGAGGGCCGAGGCGAAGCAAGGTTATTGGGTCAGAGCGCCCTGGGGTTGATGAGACCAACGCGAATGAAGACAGAGATCGTTCGGGAAGGGGGTATGAACACTGCAGACATATTCTTAAGGCGTTTTTTCTTCCCGTTATGAATTCCTCAGGGCGTGTTACTTGTGAATTGCACCGATTGTGATGGGCTGTTTTTCAGCACGCGAGGACTGTGGACTGTCGTCGCAAGGTACAAAACCAGTGTCTCTCACTCGCCCCCCCCCCCCCCCCCCCCACTTGCTGAGCTTACTCTTCATATGACAAATCATAGTAATAATGTCAATCACGAAATGACTGCCGCGGCTCAAGAGGTCAGCGCACTTAGGTAGCACCGCTGAGCACCTGGATTCGAAACAGGGCAACTGCCCATGGTGCAAGCGGATTCTACAGCGCAGGTGATGCTCTCAACTCACGACACTTGAGAGTTCATCGTCTCAGCCTCGCCACCAATGATTGCACAAAACCTGCCACGGTGGCGAGATGTTCACTACTTCTCCTGGTATGCAGGAGGGCTGAGGTTCGATCCCGAACCCTGACGCCTGCTGTAAATGCATAGTTTGCGTGTCTCTCTCCGCGTTGTCGCGTGGATGTTTCTTTGGGTCCTCCGGTGCTCCCCTCCACATTGAGAATCAACGTCACCACGCGTTTACAGTATTTGCCTGCGAGAAATAGTTTCCACGTGATGACAAGCCACTGCACTGAGCTATCGTTCGTGGCCAGGTCGCTTCTGAAAATAGCTGTATAACTCAATGGGCCTATACCTGGTTAAAGAAAAAAATGTGCATCATCCTTAATGAGGTGTCTCTCACACAGGGTGATGCTCTGTTTGCTCTGCGGGATTGCTGAATGGGTGCCTCCATATGCCTCATAATACGACGTCAGTGGTGCAACCTGGATACAATTTGGGATAAAAGTCTCGAGAATACAGTCTCCTACAAATTCAGGGACAGGATTTTCGGAATGATCCTTCTTCGTAGTTGAAGAATACTTGCTCGAGGATCCTTGCGTGAGCCACGTGAGTTCCATGTCGAGATTTTACATTGCATAGTTTCTTAATGAGGTGGCTCGGAGTGAATTACTTTGAAGCCCTGCTCGTCATCGCACACTGACACAGAGGGCTATAATTAGTGCGCCACCGTTACTCGTCGCCGTATCGAGAAGTAAAATAATCACCTTGTCTCCGTGCCTACTTTTGATCCATCGTACTTGCAATTATTCGACCATACCTCACATGCACACCAGCGTTTATTAACGGCCGAGAGGCTCCATTAATCGGCTTGTGTGCCGGCCGTTTTGCCTTCGCAAGTGCTTACAGCAGAGCCTGATTAAGCCGTCGTTTGCCACACACGGTGCAAGCCAGAAGTTGTGAACTGCTCTAACGCCCTTCTGCTACTGGCCAGGCGTAGTGGAAGAAGAGGGAGTCCCCACGCTTTGCCCCACTACACGCAGCCCACCGATCGACAGGGGCCATTTTGCAGAGGACACACGACACTAATTTCACCGATTCCAAAGAAACAATGCATCGAGTCTATCCCTGATGGGGTTGTGTACTGACGACCATGTGGACGTGAGTCGAGCACTTGGCAGCAGTGCTACTAGATGTGCGCATTGCCTGGACCCATGCGTTCGCGTGTTCCTCTTCACACAAATACCCTCGTCATAAAATGTAAAGGTACAGCCCGGCAAATTGCCTGCTCACTGTTGGCAAAAGGGCCTCCACAATGGCGAAATCTACAGAGAGAACTAGGTCTACTCTTTCATGTTGACCAGACGTGTTGGGAAATATGGGCGTACTCACACTTGACCCCAACGCACGTGACCTGCCCATCGACTGACCGCGGCGTTCTCACGAATCCAGGTCGGTGTGAAACGTGGCCTCGTGAATCGCTTCAACTGCCCCCGCCGGAAGAGAGCGTCAAACTGGTGCCGTCTGGATCGCGAGTGCAGCGTGCTGACCCATTTACACCACGACAGTGGGCCCCGTGATACTGTGACGTTACAAGAAGTCAGCTCCAGCCAGCCAGGTCAGCCAAGTCAGCTCAAGGCCGGCCTGAGTCACGCACACCACCCCTACGCCCACCCCAAATGGCCAAATTACAGAAAGGATCAGAGAAAAGTCTACTTTCCCGCCAGGCACAATGTCTGAATCTGCCAAATGCACAGTAGCCCATTTGCATAGCACGGGGAGGAAACAAGAACCGGCCGTTAAGCCGTCCACCAGAATGTATCGAGTGGCAGGCGACAATCTGCTTACAACTTTAGCTGGAGGAAGCGTGCAGTAAATTCAATGATCATTACAGCTGCTGCTGCTTGGCTTTAACCGGAGGTGGAACAAGAAGAGAGGATTGTCACTTTGCACGGAACTGGCGCAAACCTCTCGAAGTCACGCCGCAGATAACAAGCGAAGCTCGGCTCGGGAAATCGACCCGAGCCGGCGGTAGAAAGCGCGATTTTCATCGGGTAAGCAACGTCTCTCGTGTGCCCACTTCAATGTGCCTACTGCTGATGTGTGGCCACTGCTGCTGATGTGCCCACTTCAATGTGCCCACTGCTGTGTACCCACTGCTGTGTACCCACTGCTGATGTGTGGCCACTGCTGATGTGTGGCCACTGCTGATGTGTACCCACTGCTGCTGATGTGCCCACTTTAATGTACCCACTGCTGTGTACCCACTGCTGATGTATGGCCACTGCTGATGTGTACCCACTGCTAATGTGTGGCCACTGCTGGTGATGTGCCCACTTCAATGTGCCCACTGCTGTGTACCCACTGCTGATGTGTGGCCACTGCTGTGTGTACACTGCTGTGTGTACACTGCTGTGTACCCACTGCTGATGTGTGGCCACTGCTGCTGATGTGCCCACTTCAATGTGCCCACTGCTGTGTACCCACTGCTGATGTGTGGCCACTGCTGTGTGTACACTGCTGTGTGTACACTGCTGTACCCACTGCTGTTGTGTGTACACTGCTGTGTGTACACTGCTGTGTACCCACTGCTGTGTGTACCCACTGCTGCTGTGTACCCACTGCTGCTGTGTACCCACTGCTGCTGTGTACCCACTGCTGCTGTGTACCCACTGCTGCTGTGTACCCACTGCTGCTGTGTACCCACTGCTGCTGTGTACCCACTGCTGCTGTGTACCCACTGCTGCTGTGTACCCACTGCTGTGTGCCCACTGCTGTGTGCACACTGCTGCTGTGTACCCACTGCTGTGCCCACTGCTGTGTGCCGAGCGTGGATCCGCATTCCGCTGCTCGGCGCCAGACTCACGCTCAGCGGCGGCCGACTGGTAAATATACCACACTCGGAATCTTGGCCTTTATTTAGAGTGGAGGAATCCGACGAGCCGTGAAGCTCTTTTCTCAGAGAAGGTCCGGTATATTTGTGCGGCACGGAGGCCCGCAGGGTGAGGTGGGGGTGGGGGTTAGGTTAGTTTATAATGTTTATTATGAGCTATGAAAAAGGGCCATTGTCAAAAACTGGTCATCAGGTTTTTTTTAAAGAAATGTAGTTCTCGTCAAGCCCCATGGTGTGAGCAAGTACAGTTTGTCGACTCTGATTATTCTTTTCAATCTGGCCTCTCTATGTATTTGCTATGAAGGGCCATTGCCTGAAACGTCACCTATTTATATATAGTATTTATTTCGAGCCATTGTTATTCACGAATGTGTTGAGTTTTTGTTGTTAAATGTGCTTGTGCACCATTGCCAAAGCAGCGTCACCAAGTAATCTGTAAAACAATGTGCAGGTGAGTTTCCGTCAAGGGTTTTTTGTTTTCTTCATTTTGATCGCGTGGCCCCAGCGGCCATCTAGAGAAGACCCGCCACTGCTCGCACGCGACGTGACTCAACGCCTGCGAGCACGGGGAGAGCAAAGACGTCGTGCGGGCCAGTGTGTCTTTATTCGCTGCCCTGCATCTACACTCGCCATGGCCCGGGCAATTCCTTCGTGACATCAAAGTGCGTTTAAAGTTCGCAGTCGGAGCAGACACAATTAAGCGATAAAGAGTCCATCCACACGTCGCGTACCTGATCCGGTGGCCAGGTTGCGGTTGTAGCCCTTGGGGCTGATGTACTCGAAGACAAACACAGCGATGGCCACCACGGATAGACAGAGGACGAACATCATCACCCAGACGGCGGCACTGTACGGCTCTGCAAGGCAAGGAGCAGATGAATGCGGGGCGCTGTGAGGTTAATTGGCTCAAGAGGACAAAGGACAGAAATACCGCCGGTGAAAGCGAAGTGCAGGTTTAGTCATGCGACAGTTTTTTCATCCATTCCACGGCTAGGCTATATTAGAGCTGCTATTATTATAATTGCGTTTAATTGCAGCCAGTTCTGTCACCGCCCTATTCTGTTGCTTCAGTTGTCGTCGATTCTGCAAACTCCTGCTACTTCTTGTTCCGCATGTTCATCCACGACACCAAATACGATCCAAGCTCGTGTTCTTTTTGCTTGTATTGTTGTGTATTTCTTAACGTAACGATGATGTGCGCGCACGAAGCACGTGACGCAACAATAATATATGCGCCAGGCGGCTTCCGAAACTACTCCTTTGGAATAATGAAGGGAAATTTGAGCAGTATACTGTACACAATTATCCTAATTGAAATATGGTTCAATAGAAATAATTTAGGGCACGTTCTTCTTTACACTCGAGTGTAATGGAATTCCGCTGTGCGCATGGGATTTTTATTTTCATCAAATCTTAACTAAGGGGGCAAAGAGGTTTAGGACTGCTTAGAAGGAATTACATAGTCACCGTGTGTATCGTACAGCACCAAATTAGTTATAAATAATGCGACTAGCAGCATTGCATAGGGCTCATACAAAGCATATCCATGTTAATATGTGCATATATATCGCTGATTAATTTCCATTAGGTGAGTTCTTTTGATTTGCATCGATATAGTCTTGCAATTAAAACCAGGCAATGGTGGACAAGGACATTGGCTTGTTAAATGTACTGGACCAATTTAGCAGATTAGAGAATATATATATCTCAACTAAGCAATGACATTCCCATGAATATTGATCAAGGTACTGAGGGGTAGAACGCAGTGCTTCACGCTAATAATTGAACCTGGCCACGGCTAACCAACCCGCACTGACCAGCGCAGTGAAGTATGGTCAGTAAACCCCAAGAACTCCACAGCATGGGGAGGTGTTCATTCAGCAGTCGAGCGACCAAGGCGTGCACGCATGCATGCACGCACGCATGCACGCACGCATGCATGCACGCACGCACGCTGAACTTCTTTCGCACCGCACGTAGCCAACCATGCTAATTGGAGGTGCGGGGGGCTGAGCTTTCAATCAGTCACATTCGTGCACGATGGACAAGACTGGCGACAGATCAGCAGCCAAAGGCGGGGACAGAACCACAACAGCTGGCCACCACTGTGGAGACGGAGTGATGACGTCGGTGAACGTGCAGAGTGAGGTGGATTGCGATATCGCAGGATTGCGGTGGTTGGCAACGACTTGGGGAGGGAGGCGTTCGTCTGGCAGTGGATGGAGCGTGGCTGATGACAACTTGAATCGAGTCACGGACGTGTGCACTCTTGTAGACCACTCGTGCTCAGCCGCACGTGCTGATGCGTGGGAAGATGTTAACAATGCTCCCGCAATGTCAAAAAGTGCGGTGCATTCGGTGGACTTAAATTAAACTAAATTTTTTATGAGATTCAAAGTGTATACATTTTGTAAAACACGGCAAGAGTACGTACGTCTGTCCGTGATGTGTTTTTAACATTTTATAGATGTCTGTTTGTCCCCCAGGATCAGAGTAACATGGTAATCACTGGGCTCAAACATGTTAAAGATGTTAAAGATGATTCATTCAGTAGTTTATTTTGGCAAGGTGCAGCGACTCGTTGCTACTGGCAGTCTCAGTGTACTTGCCACCAATGTCATCATCATCATCAGCAGCAGCATCATCATCGCTTCTGTTTATCAATCTATTGCAAGGTGAACTCACGTCCACCTCATCTTCAGCATCGATAGCAGCAGCATCAACAACAGCGAAATTATTCCCAACATCATAAATGTAAAGAGATCTAATAATTGATTTTACTGCCACCATTTTCAGCAGCTACATTTTCAAGTGTATCAATTATTTGACTTCTACAATCCAATGCACATCGTCATAAGCAACAGATGAGTCAGAGGTCGTATCAGCAGTGACCAGCCTAATCAAAGATGCCCAACAGTCACCGTGAATGTGATTACTGTACCACCACCACGATCAGCCGCTTCAATTTCACATCACCACACATTTGTCACCTTCATTGTCACCAGTGATTTGTGTTTGAAACTTGTACCACTTGCTGACAGCAAAGACAGCCTAACAACACTGTTGAGGTGAGTGCTGTTTGAAAGCACCTATGAAGGCCGGCATGGCACACAGGAAGGCCACCATCACGCTCGGTCGCCTTTGTCGTCTCACTCGTGGCGAGTCGACCAACGGGGAGGCCCAGGACCGGTTCTAGATCATCATCATCACCGGTGTTGGCCGTAAGCGGGAATGGAACTCCGGTCGTTGGGTTTGTAACGCAGCGCTCTAACCGCTGCCCTACCGCGCCCCCTTGCTGCGCCCAGTTTGCTCGCTCTCTTGTCAAGGAGCATTAACCACGCAAGCTGCGGTCATCCTCGCAGAGGCGGCTTTTGGCTAAACGTCGAACAACGGCGGTGACCGCATCGCGCGCTTTCAGATGCGCCTCTGCGGCCGTCTGGAACGCTCTTCCGTCCGATATTAGGAAGCCACTGGAGCTATGCACTTTTAAATCTGGATTGAAAACTAATTTCTTTAAAACTGCTTTTTGTGTTGAGTTTGTTGTCCTTACCCCGCACATCCATTCTTCACGGTTGACTACGTACGGTGCGAAAGAAGTTCTACATACATAGACACGTACATACACACGCTGTGTGCTGGCACAAGTGCTGCAGGAACGCAGAGTGGCCACCTTTCACAAATCTACATCATTACACGCTCGACGTACGAGTGTGAAATCAAGATCTTCCTCTCAAGTGTAAATCGAGACATCGCCATTCATACGGATATTGAGTAGAACCGATAAATCGATGTTCAAGTTGTGAATATAGCTGCTGGCCTCAGAGGACAACGAATCGCTGCCTAATGTTGAATCGATGCTCTCTTTGTCTCTATGTCACTTGGGACAAAGGCAGAGATGCCCGTGTAGCCTTTACTCGACTGTTGCGTCAAGTGCTGTTCGCGTTCACTTCGAGGACACACGCGTAGAAGATCTCTACCGCAACATGAGTATTGACAGTTCAATGTCAATGTCCCATTGTATTGAGGGACTACTGCAGTGTGGCGTTATGTTTGTGTAGTGACGTCGCTGGATGGCAACATGCTGGGTGCAGTGCCGGCCCTAGAGGGGCCCGGTGAGCGCTGAGTGACAGCACTGGATGGCGCCACGCTTGGCGTGCAGTGCCAGCCCCTACAGGACAGGGTATGTGGGTGCCGGCCGAAGGATGAGGTTATGTGAGGCCATGGCACTCTGCTTGACCCGGGAGGACACGTGACCGGTTAAGTTGACAGAGGGGCCCCAAGAGGGGGCTAGGGGTGGTCACGTGAATGATGACACCAAAAGGCGCACCTGGTCCAACACCATGTGAGACTAGGCTCTAAGGAAAGCTGTCTCGGGTGTGGATCAATCAACTTCAAGGACAGTGCATACATTATCAGAGTTATGTTTTTTGTTTGCATTATGACTGCAGGTATTGTGGTCTATGCAAACATGACTCCTTGTAAAAAAGGTGCCAGTTTTGTTGCCAGATAGAAGGGTAAAAAACTATTATCCAATTTTTTACTGGCAAATGAGGTTCCAATGGTGTAAGGTTATGATTCTTGCATGTTTACCAATCATCAGGCACGTGCGGAGTTTAATGAAGATTTACATTTGGACCGAGGGGACGAACGAACCCGGAGAGAGGCTCCGTGACAAGTCACGTGGGTGGGGGGGGGGGTTAAACCGTGGTCTGATCTGATGCCGGCGGTGTAAGCGCGGGGATTGTCTGCCGAGCGCCATACCCAGGAAGGCGGAGAGGGAGACGGTCCCATTCCCTTTGGACACCATCACACTGATGCCCGTCTCCACGAAGGGCACGGAGAAATCGATCACCTCCAAGCGTTCCTCATTTATGGTCAGCGAGCCCATGGCCAGGTCTGCGCGCTTGTACACCACCTGGGAAGAGAAAAGTAAACAGCAAATCGCTTCACGTGCGTTACACACACACGCGCAGGCCCAGTGGTGATTAGGTAAGGCCACTTGATTAGAACGTCAATAAATAATGCCCTTCATGTAGCCAAACAACGAAAAGGCGCAATTACTCTCCAGGCTCTTGCTGCATTGGGATGTTTGGCCAATTCCACGAAGGAAGGTGTGGCGTGCAGGAGAAATGTGTTAACATAACTGCAGACGAGTTCAGATGTTAATGTGCATACGAATCTGTGAATACTACGAGGGATAAAGTGGCGTGGCGGTGGTGAACACACTGCATCATGAGCCCAGTGCCCTGAGCGCAATTCCCTGCCACGGTTCCTCTCTTCCCGTGAACGACCTCTACGCATGCTAAGCACTCGGTCGACCACACTGAGTGCGTCGTCTCATCCACACTGAAGTTCCCCCACCAGAGCGCAGTTCTCAATGAAAGACAAAGATCCCCCGTGTAAGCTTAACAGGCTGTTACGGCGAGCACCTATGAAGGCCGGCACTGCACACGATCACATTTGTCTCCCCAGTGGCGATGTTTACACGCCGTACGCGGTACTCAGTTGAGGCTGAGTCGATCGAGGGGAGGCCTAGGACCGGTTCAGATAATTGTCACCGGTGTTGACCATGGGCGGGGAATCGAACCCGGGTTGCCGGGTTTGTAGCGTAGCGCAGCACGCTAACCGGTATGCCAACATCACGACAACACTTACTCCTTCACTCACCTAAACACCCACCCACCCACTCACCTAAACACCCACTCACCTAAACACCCACTCACATAACCACCCATCCACTCACCCACCCACCCACTCACCTCACCACCCACTCACCTAACCACCCACTCACCTAACCACCCACTCACCCACCCACCCACTCGCTGCTCGACCTTGGAATTCCCTTCCCATCGTCTCTTCTGCCAAGTTCCATGACGTTTCTCAAGTCAAGAAACATATTATCCACTCTCATCGATTACAACCCGCTGATTGTTGCTGGGCGCTTGGCATTTTGGGACTTTTGGTGTCTGTGCTCAGCGACTGTGATTTATATACAAACTGGTCCTGGGACCCCTCCATCTTCACGACCATCACGACTGACACAACGCGAGCAGGCGTTGATCCAGGAGCAGACCGACACAGATCTGTAAATAATGTACATTCATCGTTCATAATAAATGTTATCGTTATTAAATATAGGCCAATTTTGTTAACGATCGAGACAGTTTCAGCAACTCGGCAAATATTTAGTTCTTACAATTATATAAATAAATTGCCCCCAATAGTAATGTTAAAGTGTAAGTTATCGTCATGATAGATTTGGCCCAAAAAGCAAAGCATGTCTAGTTTTTCTCGCGGCATTAATCAAGTGCTAAATGTGCTTTAATGGCCTACTTTTAAAACTCTGCATCTTAGTCCTGCACTGTGGAAGGTCACGGGTGTTTGATGGTTTTTATTATTATTTCTAAATCTTAAACGACTCGCATACAGAAGACTTGACAGGGCGATAAAGCCAGAAGGCAAGACTGCTCTTCCATCAGCACCTTGATGTAGTGCACGTATGCCGTGCTGCTCAAATGTCTTTGCAGATTGTTCTCGGGCACACGAATGCAATTGGTCTTGCACAGACTGCAAAGATAGTAACGCGTCTATGTACATACATCCACCGAATACAATCGAGCAGCTTTAAATATTTCCCTTTAAGAATGTTTGAGCAATTGCTTTTTCTCAAAGTGCAGGTTGTCCAACGCCTGCAGCGTGTTTCGTCGCGCTAATTGCCATTCACAGAGTGCCTGTTTCTAAAACTGTAAAAAAAAAAGTTTTCCAGAAGCAAACCAAAAAAATCAGTAAAGTGCTAAACGAAACTACTTTTTTATTTTACCAGGTAAGGTCCACTGAGCTATGTAGCTCTTTTTTAAAAGCGACCTGGCTATCACAAATTATAGCTCAATGAAGTGGACAGTCATGTGGAAATTTATAGCAGCCAAATACTCTTTTTTTAATGTGGAGGGAAAAACCGGAGGACCTGGAGAGAAATCCACATGTCCACGGTGACAAAATGCAAATTCCAAATATACAGGGTCGGGATCGAACCCACGACCTCCTGCATACCAGGCGAGGTAGTTAACATCTCCTCGCCACTGCGCGTGTGCAGGGGCAAGACGGGTGTGTTAGGTTGCGGGGCCGTGATGAGGGATTGCGACAGCGTACAGGGACCTTCATCTGGTAGTGGATTGAGCATGGTAGCTGCTGCTGCTGCTGCCGACGATGACGAACAAAGTCTCGAATGCAGAGTGGCATTACGCACATCCACACAGCGCTCCGAGCTGCAGTGAAAGCCAGCGGAGTTCAATTAACTCTCCCTACGCCAACGGAGCAGCGTGGTATACTCTAAGCCAAATACTAAGCTACCAGCAGTCTCACGCGAGGGCTTGCGTGTGTTGTACAGTTGCATACTGGAGATGTGGGATGTTTAATTCAGAACGCAGCATGTAATGCGGGGGATTTTAATCCAAGCCGGCTGTGCGGTCAGCTGTCGTAGAGAAAACCCCTCTACTGGAAGGTGATGAATCATAACACTATGTAACACGAATTTTGTTCCTGGGTACTAAGTGTTATTTTCTAATTGCTTATGCCTCAAAAGTATATAAAATGGATATTATTCCCCACGAACTTTGCTTTTGTGACCATGACTTTATGTGAACGAAAGACAAAAATGCACACCACGTTTTTTCATTGAAAATAAGTACATTTTAAAATATCACTGTCCTGGTCACAAAGCAAAGTTTGTGGGGATTTATAGCCATTTTCTATACGTTTGAGGCATAAGCAATTAGAAAATAACACTTACTACGCAGGAAAAAAAAAAGGAATGTTTTCGTTACACGGTGTATGATTAGCGATGACAACGTGTTGGGGTATTGACGCCGGCACTTCTGTGTCCCCGGCCACTCTTTGTGACATGGGACTGGCGCGTTGACCACTCGGCCTGCGGCCCATCGCCTTGCAAGGCACCAGTTTCCCTTCTGTGAATTTTGAACAATTCATCGAAGACAAGAAGGAGCCGCCAATGATGAGAATCGCCCTATAATTTAACCCGTGGGCGTAATTGGTGGCAGTTCACCGGCAATTGAGGCCACGCACGCAGGAGGTGCAAACATACTTGATGCAGACAGCACTCCCACCCACCACAGCGGCACTTGGACGCCACGTGGCACCACCATGGTTTAGCCTGCGCGCATGGCAACATCTACCTTTCGCTGTGAATCATGCATCCAATATTTAAATTATACTATTCTATTCTTGCGCATGATGACAGCAGTATGATTCAGGAGCTAAACGTCAGTGTCGAAGTCTGTGAGCCACGACACGAGGGCTTCAGCAGAGGGTTTGTGGAGTTTTGCCATTCCTCGTCTGTTGAAAGAGCTCAGGCCACTGTGTATTACGACATGGTCCATAGTTCGGGTTGCATGGCCACAGTCGCACTGCTGTGGCTGTAATTTTCCATTAATGAAGGAGATGTGCGCATGGGCCTGCCGTCAATGTTTTGATGTGGTCGATGGTGACACCACCGGTGTTTTCGAGGAGGAATGGCAAATCCAGGAGGTGCGATTTTTGGTTCTAGAATGAGGTGTTCATTAAAATATACCGCTAACGAGACTTGCATATGAATTGCACCCATAACCAAGTGAGATTTTTTTTTGGTTTGGCCAGAGGACCCCCAAATGGCAGCTGTCCCTACGCAGCACAGGGCATCAGCCTGCAAGTGGTCATGAGTCTGCCAGTTGGGGCGGGAACGATGATTGCTCCGTGTAATCCCAATTGAGTAATTAAAATAAACCTATGGGAAAGATGGCAAGGGATGTCCAAACAAGGGTGTGATTATTCTGCATGATAGAATCATTCATCGAAGGGCTCTTTGATTATACACTTGTGCCATTGCCCGGAGAGCATTAAATAACACGACGAGGTAATTTGCTGCCTGCGTTTCACTCTATAGTGGTGTTTAGCCCCAACTGTCGTGTGCCTCTTTAATAGCCACCTGCCACTTGAAACAATCACTTGACAATAAGGACATTCTGGAGTTAAGTACGCCCCACAATTGCACTTTCACCTCATTGAAGTGTTTTTAGTTTAAGTGTATATTCGTCTACGTACATACACAGTTATAGGTGAATGTGTGTGTGTGCATGGGATTGTGTAATTATAATTATGTATAGGAGCTTGTGTGTGCACGTGTGTGTGAGGAGCGGTGGTGGAGCGGTTAGCGCTACGCTGCGCTACGAACCCGGCGACTGAGGTCGATTCCTGCTCACGGCCGACACCAGTGACGATGATCTGAACTGGTCCTGGGCCTCCCCTAGGTCGATTCAGCATCAAATGAGTTCCTGGTGCGGTGTGTAGTAAACATCGTCACTGGGAGACAAAGTTCAGCCGGGTGTGGTGCTGGCCACCCACCCCCACGTGTGCCATGCCGACCTTCATAAGTGGTCACTAACAGCACTTGACCCAAAAGTCTGTCAAGGCTACATGAGGGATCTTTGTCTTTGTTGTGTGGTGCAGCAATGGTTCACGCATCGTGCTACCATGATTGTGACCATGCCTCAATTCCTGGTAATGCGGAACACCGCTGGCAATTGCGCTAGGTGGACTCAGCCTTGAATATATGCCTGGTGCAGTTTGAACATCAGTACTGGAGCGACAAATGCGGAAGAGTGTCGTGCTGAGCAGACAGTGTCCTCATATGCCATGGTGGCCTCAGTATGTGCTCGCTTGTGCTTGGAGTCCATTCGACTAGATGGGGGATCTACGTTTTTGTTCGTGTGTGTGTGGCTGTGTATGCTTGCGCGTGTGCGTGTATAAGGGGAGTGGTGGCATTGTGGTTCACACACTGTACTATGAACCTGACAAGCTGAGTTTGATCACTGTTCACGAATATTTGGCAAATATCTTATCCGGTCCTAGGCCTCTCCTAGGCAGACGCGGCCTTACTTGAGTACCTGGTCGAGCGTGTACACGTCAGCTCCCTGGCGACAACGGTGGCCAGGCGTGGTGCTGGCCGCACCACCCTCAAATCCGCTACGGCGGTCCTCATAGGTGCTTGCTAACATCACTTTCGCCAGCAGCCCATGTGGGCTATACGTGGGGTATTGGTCTCTTTGTTGTGTTAGTGCATTCTCCACGTTCTCCGTGGAGTAATCAGGTGTGGGGATCCATTTGCACCTCCATTAGCACGGTTGGCTACGTACGGTGCGAAGGAAGTTCAACACGCATACACGTGCATACATTTGTGAATTGACAGATATGTGAATGGCAGATTTGTGAATGGACAGATTTGTGAATGGACAGATTTGTGAATGGACAGATCTGTCCCATCGCGGTCGTGTGGGTGGGGGGAGACGAACCCCTTCGTGGGACAGGCGGGGAGGGGGTCAGGACAATGAGGCCAAAGAGAGATGTTCTCCGTCAAACATTACCTCGCCTACCATTCCATTCCACACACCTCGAACTTTCTTCCCGTGCTTCCCATTTGTCACGAGGTAAAGATCGAAGGTAAATTTAATAGTTTTTGCCAGTTTTTTCAGAATGTCGATGCAGAATCCCTTGCAGCATCTTTTCACAAATGAGTTGCTCTCAGAATGATTCCTGCAAAGAGAAGAGAGGAGGGGGGGGGAGACCAGAAAATGCAGAAGTAAGGGAAGATAAAAAACGACTCGTGCCACATTTACATTTAAATTATGCCTGCAGCGTACGCACAATTACACGCTCCAGAATGCTCGTATAATTCTTAAGGGTTTTATGCACTTGAGTCACAGAATATTTCTTTGAGCCCCGAGAAGCAATCCCGAGTAGAAATACAAAGCACGTTCAGGGTGAGTGTTGAGTATTCTGAACGTCATAGGTCCATCTGCATGCTGAGCGTCATACACGTCGTACTGAGCGTCATGCACGTCGGGCTGAGCGTCATGCACGTCGTGCTGAGCGTCATACACGTCGTGCTGAGTGTCATACACGTCGTGCTGAGCGTCATACACGTCGTGCTGAGTGTCATACACGTCGTGCTGAGTGTCATACACGTCGTGCTGAGTGTCATACACGTCGTACTGAGCGTCATACACGTCGTGCTGAGTGTCATACACGTCGTGCTGAGCGTCATACACGTCGTGCTGAGCGTCATACACGTCGTACTGAGCGTCATGCACGTCGGGCTGAGCGTCATGCACGTCGTACTGAGCGTCATACACGTCGTGCTGAGTGTCATACACGTCGTACTGAGCGTCATGCACGTCGGGCTGAGCGTCATGCACGTCGTGCTGAGTGTCATACACGTCGTGCTGAGCGTCATACACGTCGTACTGAGCGTCATACACGTCGTACTGAGTGTCATACACGTCGTACTGAGCGTCATACACGTCGTACTGAGCGTCATACACGTCGTACTGAGCGTCATACACGTCGTACTGAGCGTCATACACGTCGTACTGAGTGTCATACACGTCGTACTGAGCGTCATACACGTCGTACTGAGCGTCATACACGTCGTACTGAGCGTCATACACGTCGTACTGAGCGTCATACACGTCGTACTGAGCGTCATACACGTCGTACTGAGTGTCATACACGTCGTACTGAGCGTCATACACGTCGTACTGAGCGTCATACACGTCGTACTGAGTGTCATACACGTCGTACTGAGCGTCATACACGTCGTACTGAGTGTCATACACGTCGTACTGAGCGTCATACACGTCGTGCTGAGCGTCATACACGTCGGGCTGAGCGTCATACACGTCGTACTGAGCGTCATACACGTCGGGCTGCACACGCGACGAAGTTCCTGCGGGGAACGCAATTGTGTTGTGTAGAACTTCCTCGCACTGTTGTTGAAAACACATCTCACGGTGGTTGTCAACGGGGACCCCAACTCGCAGTTTTGGCCACCCGGGAGGGGGGGGGGCAAGGCACCCCCTGCCTGCCCCCCACGCTCGCTACACCGCTGCAGCATCAGTGACGCCGATGTAAAGTTGGCAAGGCTCGCGGCTACCGGTGACGAGTGAATTGAAAAGAGCCGTACACAAACTTACAACATACTTTGGTTGTGCTTTCATGAAGCAGGTTATAACATCTCCGTGACTTTACCGAAAGAACAACAGAGTATGGATTCCTGCAGTCACGAAAGCTTCAAATCAAGATTGAACCACCTCTACGGGGAGGGCTTCCACACAACTGTGAGATCGTTAAACAGACTGCGAGACAAGAAGGCACACCTGATGGAGTCTCGATATAAAGCCACAACAGCAGATAATGTTTCTCACCTGAAGACGGCTGCTTGTGTTGTGTTTAATAATTGTTTTCTATTTACGTGACTTTACCGAAAGAACCAGAGAGTATAACATCTCTTCTCTAAATCTGTGCCTTGCAGGTAAAAGGCAAACGGAGGAGCAGTCAACATTTCATATTTCCCATGTGACGAATCAAGGTTGAACGTGAATCACGAATGCGTCAGGACATGTAAACAAACCGTAGGCGCGGCATTAAAGAGCGACGTGTCACAAGTCTCGGTAAAGTTATTCGGCGGCCAATCAATATTCATCACTTAGCACTTCGGAGAGCTCGAGAGGCCGGGCGGAGCGCATTTGTTTTCACTCCCCGCGTGAGCGCGCCACGGTCGAACGCACGCCGCTGGGACAGACGAGAGGGAGACATGCAGCCAGTGGCGGCTCCTGCAAAATCTCTCAGGGGGGGCAAATGTCTGGATGATTGATAAGGATAAGGTCCACCCATGCAATGGATACATTAACAGCTTAAGCATGTAAAGGCAACTTCACTTCTTTAATATTAATGAAAAATAAAGTGACTCTTACAATACATCTCCTTGTTTGTTTCTATACTCACTATTAATAGAATCCACTCAAGTTTCTTTTATTAAAGATTCCACTAGGTGGCGACAAATTATATTGTTGGATGAAACGTGCTTACGTATGATGACGTAAGCACGTTAGTGCGAGCCCTCCCGGAAGTCATAGAGAATGCATTGGAGCGCCCGCCGTTCGAAAAAAAAACATCTTTGAATTAAGTCTATGGAGCCACTCGGGGCGATTCTCAGCCGGAGTGAAATCGCCCAAAAAGAGGCGGTACTCCACAGAACGTGACATGACGCTGATTGGACTATATCCAGAGGCACAGTGACGGCGAGCGTGACTCTGTGGTTGAATGACATTGGTGGTGCGTCGCCCAATCGCCCTAATGAAGAAACCGCCCCTGCATGCAGCCACACTTTGGGGCTTTCTTGAGTCCGTAGGCGGGGAGCGACGTTGCTCAGTGGCTCCCTGCGAGCAGCTGCCTCGGCTGCTCTTCACCCGGGAATGCGTTACTGCTGTGTCTAGGACCAGCGTACGGGAATGTTTTGCTGCTGTGTCTAGGACCAGCGTACGGGAATGCGTTGCTGCTGTGTCTTGGACCAGCGTACGGGAATGCGTTGCTGCTGTGTCTTGGACCAGCGTACGGGAATGCGTTGCTGCTGTGTCTAGGACCAGCGTACGGGAATGCGTTGCTGCTGTGTCTAGGACCAGCGTACGGGAATGCGTTGCTGCTGTGTCTAGGACCAGCGTACGGGAATGTTTTGCTGCTGTGTCTAGGACCAGCGTACGGGAATGCGTTGCTGCTGTGTCTTGGACCAGCGTACGGGAATGCGTTGCTGCTGTGTCTTGGACCAGCGTACGGGAATGCGTTGCTGCTGTGTCTAGGACCAGCGTACGGGAATGCGTTGCTGCTGTGTCTAGGACCAGCGTACGGGAATGCGTTGCTGCTGTGTCTTGGACCAGCGTACGGGAATGCGTTGCTGCTGTGTCTAGGACCAGCGTACGGGAATGCGTTGCTGCTGTGTCTAGGACCAGCGTACGGGAATGCGTTGCTGCTGTGTCTAGGACCAGCGTACGGGAATGTTTTGCTGCTGTGTCTAGGACCAGCGTACGGGAATGCGTTGCTGCTGTGTCTTGGACCAGCGTACGGGAATGCGTTGCTGCTGTGTCTTGGACCAGCGTACGGGAATGCGTTGCTGCTGTGTCTAGGACCAGCGTACGGGAATGCGTTGCTGCTGTGTCTAGGACCAGCGTACGGGAATGCGTTGCTGCTGTGTCTTGGACCAGCGTACGGGAATGCGTTGCTGCTGTGTCTAGGACCAGCGTACGGGAATGCGTTGCTGCTGTGTCTAGGACCAGCTCCGCGTCCAGGTGGCCGAGCCGGGCAGCAGCGTCAGGAGTAGCGCAGTCTATCGCCGCGAAGTCTCATTCGTATTTGTGGATCGGGCATTTGCTCGGTACGTGTTGTAAAGTCTGTTCTGGATGACCACAGTCGCACAGTGCTACTGGAGAGGTTTTACTTCTCCACTTGTGCATCAGCTATGCGCATCTACTGCCATGGTTTGTAAGGATGCCGTTTTGAGTGGACCATGAGCTTCGTGGAAGATCTAAACCCAGGGATCTCCTGCGTTGAGTCTTTCACAAGGGGCAGCGGTGAGCGTGAAGCACTGCCACCACCTTCGCTGCAGCCCAGCGTGTTTGTACACGCTGGGCCCTCCCACGAATGGCCACCAAACACAACCCCGGGTGTCGTTTGTGGTCGCCACCGCTGCAATGCACCCCCCATCACCGCGCAGTCAGTCGTGCGTGGCGACAGCTTGAGAGAAGAATGATCAACACGGAGCCCAGCCCGGAAAGCTGCACTTGGGATTGTTGACGTTGCCGCACTTAAGTTGGTTCCATCATGAAATTGAAATAACGTGCGGCTCGTCGTCAATCCACTGCTGGATGGATGCACCCCCATGTCATGTTATGGGAGTTGTTGGGTCCATAATTCACCGTGCTGGTTACTGCGGGTGACCCGGATCGGTTCAGCGGTCACCACTGATGTCAGCTGTGTCTGCGAATTGGCCGGGGTCACAGCGCACTGCGCTAACCACTTGTTGTACTGTACTTGTATGCCCTAGTGTCTATGCTCCCCACAACTTCACAAACCCGCAAAAGCGTGGTCCAAATTACGTCCACAGGCCGCAGGGAAGTGGCAAGGGCCTTCTTCAGCAGGAGTGGAGTGACTCACGCCTGATCCCGGACTTGATCACAATCGCTGCATCGATTGGTTGAAATAACTCATCACGCTCACGGTACATGCATCAGACAGCGCGCGTACGAATCTATTATTGACGTGGACAAACGTCATGCAAACAACACATTTTAGGCGATTGGGACGGACACAACTGTAGCATTGAAAGAGAGGAATGTGATTCTAGATTTGAAGCTTTCGTCACGTGGGTAAAAATAAATAATAAAAATAATAGAAATAATAATAGAAATACAATGATAAATTACGACGTTTCGGAGGCAACACAAGTCTCCGTCATCAGGTGGGACCGTCACAGCTAAATTTACTGTATCAAGTGAGACAAAATTCCAAGAGACAAGCTCTTAAGTTAAGGGGGAGGGGGGGAGGGGCTTATCTGAATGTGGTAGCCAATGAATGGAACGTGTTGGGGGTGGGGGCTAAAAGAGAGCAATAGGTGCACTTGGGGTTGTAACCGGTGTTGGCTGACAATCCAAATACAAACAGCGGTCAAGTTAGACGTCAGAGAATTGATTCAAACTGCGGCA